TTTATCCCGGGATTTTCTGGACACGTCACTCATGCAGGGATGGAGATTCCCGACTTTTTCCAGCGCATCCCGGAAAAGAGGAAGGGGGAAAATTTCAGGAAGGCAGGGGAGGGAAATCCGGGCAAATTGGGTGGATTTGGATGAACGGATTTGGCTTTTCCAGCGGGATTTTATCAGGGATATCCCATGGGAAAAGAGAACAGGACCCTTCCCACTTCCCAACCCCCACATTCCTGCTCCAGGGAAAAAAGGAAAAAAAAAAAAAAAAACAAAACTAGAAACCAAATCCAAGTGATATTTTTAATTAGGATTTTCTTTGAAAATTAATATCCCCAAGTTCCAATTCCTTCCCAAAGCAGCCACCTGCCAGCCTGGGATATTCCAAGCTCCAGCTGGAAAACTCCCCGTGAGGAAGTGCGGGAGGGATGGGAAAGATGGAATCTTTCCCCCACCTGGGATTTATAAATTAAATTATAAATGAAATCTCTCTTGAATTAAATGTCGCTTTAAAGATCACTTTAATTCAGCCTGAGGATGGAGGGACAAGGGGGTGTCAGGAATAATAATAATAATAATAATAATAATAATAATAATAGTAATAATAATAGTAATAATAATAGTAATAATAATAATAAATAATTAATATAATAATAGTAATAATAATAGTAATAATAATAAATAATTAATATAATAATATTAGTAATAGTAATAGTAATAATAATAATCGTAATAGTATTAGTAAATGATAATTAATATAATAATAATAATAATAATAATAATAATAATAATAATAATAATAATAATAATAATAATTCCACATCCAGGAATTACTGCTCCATTTGCCCTTTCCAGTGGCAATTCCAGCCCATCATGGAACAAATCGTTGGAAAACCATGGAAATCCTTCCCCTCTCTCCCATTAAATGTGATTAAATTCAGCTTCCAGACTGGAGGGGCTTGTTTGGATCTTCCCAAGGGAATTCCGAGCGCGGGAGGTTCAAGGGGATTCGGCACCGAGGGGAGCCCTGTGCTCCTTTTCCCTTTTCCTTCGCAATTCCCGGTTTTTTCGGCAGGGAGAAGGCGGCTCCTCGGCAGAACCGAGCCACTGGGATTGTGACTATTGATTTTTTTTTTCCTTTTTTAGTCACTTTTCAGCGCCTGGAAAAGATCGCTGGGAATTTCGGGACAGCTTTGGGATTGCAAGCGCTGTCCTGAAGCGTTCCTGGGAATCTGCCAGGAAATCTGGCAAAAAAATGGGAAGAAAATGTTTAAAATCCATGTTCAGACACAAAAAAAAGAGCTCAGGGTGAGGCTGATGGAGCTGCTTGGGCCTGGAATAGCTTTTCCCTGGAATTCCTGGATGTGGGATCAGCTGCCACAATCAGCACAATTCCCAATTCTTCTTGGGACTACACACCCTGGGGGGGCCAAAACCCTTGGAATTAGACACAAATCCATGGATTAACTGCACCATTCCCACTGCCAGGAGCTGGAGCAGCTGGATGTGGCCCCTGATCCCAGCCCCAAACTTCCCAATCCCGCTGGAAGCAGCTCCTGCCACCCCGGAAGGCTCTGCCTCCAACAAAAAATCCACTCCCCGCTGGATTTGGGATTTTTTTATTCCCTACATTTCCTCGGAGGTTCTGCCATTCCTGCTGCTGGTCCCGGAGCACCGGGAATGAAGAGGTTTCAAGCGGGGATTGCAGGGAGGGAACAGGGAGTGGCTGCATCCCAAACCACCATTCCTCACGGGAATGTCGTGATCCCATGTCGTGATCCCGTGATGGATGCAGAATTCCCAAGCACAACTTGCGGCTGGAAGTGTCCAAGGCCAGCAGGGAAAATCCATGGAAATCCATGGCAGGATTGTCCTTAGGTCCCTTCCATCCCAAACCCCTCTGGAATTCTCTGGCTCGCACCACGCTGCTCCCCAGGAATGGTTTCCATGCTGCCAAGCCGGGCTGGGCTCAGCTCCTCTGGAAAAACCCTGGAAAACAGATGGGAACAAAACGGTGTTGGCAGCACAGGAGAGGTTTGAGGATATCACATCCCAAATTTTGGCAGCCCGGAGAGGTGACCGGAGCAGGGACAGCTGCCAGGATTTGAGGGCAAGGCAGGGGAAATCACAACAGGAATCTTGGGAATTGGGGTTTTGGGAATTCCTTGGAAGTGCTGAGGCTGAGCCCCCCTAACCTCTGCCAAAGCTTGGGGGTTAATTAATGCCACAACAAACCTGCGTTAAGAGGCCTAATTAATATTATTTAATCTACAGACCAGAGGCAGCTGTTCCCTGCTTCCCATACAGGGAGGATTGACCGGGAATTGTCCAGGAATTGTCCGGGAATTGTCCAGCAGGGATGCCCGGGGTGGGACCTGTGCCCGCTCCAGAGGGAGCGGATCCAACATTCCAGCTCTCCTCCCATCAGCAGCATCTCTGGATGTGGGAAGGTTGGGTTTGATGATCCTGGAGGTCTTTTCCAACCATCACAATTCCATGATTCCCGTGCTTTCCATCCCTGTTTTCTGCCACCCCCGTGTGTGACCCCCCTGTCCCCCCCTGTCACTGCCAGGCCAATCCTGCCCTTCCCCACCTTTAATTTGGGCTCTCA